GAAGAACAGCATAATTTGGCCCGATTTGCAAACGTACCCTTAAGAGACCGGTCCTTAAGAAACGCTCAAATAGGCAGTTACGGTTTAAAAATGTGAAAGAACTGACGTCATTGAGACACCATAAAAAAAAATTCAATCTCTCGTCCGTTCGTAGCCCGATTTGACAAGTAGAGTCGATACATCTATTGTTTGACATGGCATAAGGGTGGGTCGCGAGTGTCGTACGCGACTGCTAAAATTATTTGTATTCTTCGAGTGAGTAGAGCAAGAGTAGGAGTAACTGGGTATGTGAGTTTTATTATGTATTGTTTTTGTAATTATCAGGCATTAATGTGTTTAATAAAATATTAATTTATTTTAATATCCATTTCAGGTAGATAATACGGGAAAACGCAAATAAGTCAGTTGGCATATATTGAACGATACTTTTGCGATCACTCGAAGTGCGTGTAAATTTTGGGAATTTTCCTATACTAAAGTCCTACGATGAGGAGCGGGTAGCGGGTTTGAGTTTGAGGAGCGCGCGGGACACCGCTTATTTTAAATTGATTTTATTTTGTTTATTACATTATATTAATATGGATCTATTTAAAAAATAATTTCTGTTACATATTCATTATCGAATAAAGTTTCTCATAAAAACTGCATAATACATTTCTCCTACAAATAGTTGCAAGTTTGAAATTAATCACGATTAATGACAAAAGTGGAAACTATGAAATATTTCCTTTCCCCCTTATGATGTTATCCGTTGGATAGGCTTATGTTCAGTAGTTGACTTTGATAGATTGTAATGAATGAATGAACAATATATATTTATTCTCAACATAATTTAGAAACTATTATAACTCGTCAAAACATCGTCATCTACGTATCGGAACTAAGATTTTTTTCGTTAAGTGACTTCGTAAAATGATTTTTGTAAGATAATTTATAATATAAAATAAATATGTTACTAGATCCACGACGGGCCGCGAATTTACGTAAGAGGCCTGACGGCTCTCGTGGCCGGCGGGGCACCGACCCCTCGACCACGCGTCGAGCGACTCGGCGTTTATCTCACCTACATACCAAATCAGGTGAGGCGCTAGCTTGAACGCCATTGGAGGGCGTACAAATTACCTTTTTTGGCCTAAACAAAAAAAAATAATAAAAAAAAAAATATTATTAGGTATTCAAGAAGGGCCATGGAATTTTGCCAACTACCAGCACATTATTAAAAATATCTTCATTATTATTTTTTAATTTAAAGTTTCTGAGAATAACTATATATAGAAAAAAATATTGGAAATATCTATTATAGTTCGCTTTTAGCACTAACATTATAATTATATATAAATTTAGACGAAAGACATTTTATTATACCTACTTTAATGTATAAACCATATACCTACTTTATTGTATAAACCATAACATTATACCCATATATTTAAAGAAAACACGAATTAAGTAAATTATTTTTCCTTGACAGTAAAATATAGTTGCAATGGTTGCAACATATAAGTTTTTTTTTTATAGGAGAGGGGGCAAACAAGCATGCGGCTCACCTGACGGTAAGTGACTACTGCCGCCCATAAACAATTGTAACACCAGGGGAATTGTAGTAGGTAGTGAGTAGGCTCTTTTCTTGAAGGTCCCTAAGTCGTATTGGTCCGGAAAAATCTCTGGTGGTAATTGATTCCACAAGGAAGTTGTTCGAGGAAGAAAACTTCTTTTAAATCGCACAGTGGTGGACCACCCATCATCCAGATGGCATGGATGGTATCGCGAGATTTGTCGCGATGTGCGATGTTGAAATTGAGCGGCTGGAAGTAGTCCGAACAATTCCTTAGAGCACTCCCCGTGGTAGAAGCGATAAAACACGCAAATAGATGCAACATCTCTACGCAGTGTCAGTGAGTCTAGCCGATCGGAAAGAACTCGGTCGTCGACGATTTGAACCGCTCTACGCTGGATGCGGTCAAGTGGAAGGGTGCTGGGACTGGGGTGCCCCGGCCCAGAGATGGGAACAGAATTCCATGTGGGGTTGAACATGTGCCTTGTAAAGTTGCAAGCGGTGTGCCGGCATGAAATACTGCCACGCTCTGCTGAGCACGCCAAGCTTGTTAGAGGCCAATTTGGCCTTCTCTTCCAAGTGAAACTACGCAACTGCACATCACTCGATATGTTGACATCGAAGACTCCGATACTGGTTGAGGCAACAAGAGGAGTGCCTTGAAACTGAGGAGATACGACAAATGGGTTCTTTTAGCGGTGAACGCACAAACTTGTGTCTTCTGGTTATTGAATTGGACTAGATTTAGTCGCCCCCAAAGTCGTGAAATCGAGACTGTTCAACAAAGTCTCGAATTCAGACACAAGTTTGTTCCGGTACTCGGCGACATTTTCCCGAGAAATATTGGCACGGCCGGTGTATAAAGCATCACCGGTGCTGTCATCTGTATAGCAATGAATGTTACCAGTTTGCAACATATCATTTATATGCAGAAGAAACACCTTAGTGATAGCACGAAGCACAAAAGCTCTCTTTGAAAAAATGCTGTATCGGCCGTGTCGGAGACCTCACAGTGACCGTAGGGTATGTCGGCACGTGTCGTTTAGTTAAGATGCAAATAACATTTTTAGAAATATTAAAATTAATAAGTTACTACTCATCACCTTCATACAGATAATTCGATATTTTAATTGTTGATAATATTTTATTTTTGGATAAGAACGTAGTAATGACTAAGTTATATCTCATCATCATTTAAAATTTCTTTTTTCTTTGGTCTAATCTACTATATTCTTTGGCATGATCATAGGTCTGGCAAATTGGTCCAATAAAATCTCGACGCCTGAATGGTTCTAGTAGGGGAGGCCCCTTTCATTATTAATTTATTTTTATTATTTGTTGTTATAGCAGCAACAGAAAAAAATTCAACTGTCACCTATTACGGATCATGAGATACAACCCGCTGATAGACAAACAGACGGACGGATGGACGACGGATCGACGGACAACGAAGGCTTAGTAATAGAGTCCCGTTGGTTACCCTTTGGGTACAGAACCCTAATAAATAAAATAAAAATTACAGTAATATGAATAACATAATTCAGTGATTTCACTTTTGTATTCAGTCAGATTATAATTTACACGACGGTTAACTTTTATCTTACGATTGAAAAAGACACCATGAAGTAAACGATTAACTATCAAGCTACTACCGCTTTAACTTTAATATGTATTAAATTTTAAATTAATACTCGTGGGCATGTCACAAATATTCCGTATATATCTATTAGGTAATATAGCGTAAAGCGTATCACCTTGTTTGTCCGCGATAAACTCCTAAACTACTCAAATGATTTCAATGAAATTATACACACTGTGTCCAGTTTGGTCCAACTTTAGGAATAAAATAGTTTTTTATCTCGATAAATGACCCCTCAATATTTTTTATTGCGAATTTAATATTTTTTATAGGACTAAATGTCGTCAAAAAGGACAGAACGAACAACGTCTGCTTGGCCAGCTAGTGACAGATAATTAATAGTATAACCATGAAGCAAATACAAAGAGGAGATGGCATAAGCAACTGTGCACTGTGATTCTAAGTAGGTCCTGACGTCATCAAAGTGGGCGTGGCTTTAGTTAGTATACTGTCAGCATTCGTCCTGTGCGCTTATGTGTTGAAAATCGCAAATCGATGTATTTTCGTAGTATTAAGAAGAAAAAGATAAAGTGTTGTGTTTTATCGTGTAAAAACTACTCAGATAGACGCTCTGATGCTATGGATGGCATCACATTTCATTTATAAGTAATTTTACACCTAATTTATAAAAATAGTTCTAGAAAAATCTCTTTTCGTCAGCTTTCAAATATAATTAAATATATTCGACACTAGATGGCGACACTTTGTGTCATGTGAACTAAAAATATAAAGGTACGTAGAGCTCAGTATTGATAAAATAATGATACGAAGGTAATGAAATTTGTTCTGCATTCAGACATAGAAATTTTAATCGCCTAAATATTATTTTTATAGTTTATAATCATTTTGTGAACAGGCCGCCATCTATCGTCAAGATAGCTAAACTACATCGATATGGAACGATTCGAGTAGTTTTACTATTTATCGGTAGATGTAGATAGTGTAGAGTGTCAATTTTCACGCAAATTGTCACGCGCTGTTACATAGTGAAATCTAATTACAACACCTCCTCTTTGCATTTGCTTCATGAGTATAACCTTGGTAATATTTTAATAATAAACCAAGACATTGAGTGTACGTATATTGTGAGTTATAACTTTAAACATTAGATTTTCCATCTATGTTTTAGCAACAGTGGTCGTGCCGGATGAGGAAGCTCAAGGTCGCTCAGCGAGCTATGGAGAGAGCTATGCTCGGAGTTTCACTGCGTGATAAACTTAGAAATGAGGATATCCGCAGTAGAACCAGAGTGACCGACATAGCCCAACCGATTAGTAAGCTGAAGTGGCAATGGGCCGGCCATATAGCTCAAAGAACCGACAATAGATGGGGGAAAAAGGTTCTCGAGTGGCGGCGTCGTACCGGCGGACGAAGTGTAGGGCGTCCCCCCACTAGATGGAGTGACGACCTGGTAATATATGCAGGAAGTCGATGGATGCAGATACCTCAGGACCGTGCTTTGTGGCATTCCTTGGGGGAGGCCTATGTTCAGCAGTGGACTTGTATGTGAAGGGCTGTAATGAAGATGATGATGACGATATTAATACCATCATACGTCAAGTTTGACTTCAACTTTAAATATTGTGTAAACTATCATCAACAACGCAATGATAACATTCATTAAAATTTCAGATTTCAGTTAGAAAACCTAAATTTAAAAAAAAACATTTGAGACGATATCTGGGGCAAGTGAGGTCCTTCTCCAGCAAAGAAATTTTACGGTTCATAATAAAAGCAAGAAAAAATCCAGTTCTTAATTACATAAGTAAATAAAACCGTGTTTTTTTTCTTTCAAACACAACTCACCCACTGCAAATAACAACTCATCGCTGTTCAGGTCGTGGTCCAACGAGGCGATTGGTACCTGCAACTTCTTGGGTTGGTCGTTTCGATTCGCTTCCTGTTTTGTGCCGCTCGCTTCTGATGATACGGCGGGTCTGGGGCTGTAATAAATTATATATTATTGGATATAAGAACACATGGTGTGTTGTTTAGTTGTCACACATAACATCAAGTGCCTTTAAAGCCAACTTAAAAAAGAAGGATTAGATTTTAATACGACTGTATTTTTTTTTTTTTGAAAAACTAAATCGAAGCATACCACGTAAGACTTCAAGATACAGTAAGCTCATTATGCGTATATCGGACCAAAATGAATAAATAAAAAGCTAAAAGTACTGCGGGTTACTTTGACATAGGGACGTTAAACACCACAGTTCCCCCCATGACTAAAGGCTGCACACCAATGGAAACGTGGGAAATTAAAAATAAGTAAAATTAAACCTGATAAAATCCTTAAAAATAGTTTTATTGTTTGTAGTGTTCGCGTAGTATGAAACGATACATTTTTGTATATTACAAGTACGAGATATCTTCGTCAATTATGAATCTTTCTTTGTCTTTTTTTTTCTTTGTTATGAATCTTCGTCAATTATGAATCTTTCTGTTTTTTTTTTATTTTCTTTGTTATGAATCTTCGTCAATTATGAATCTTTCTTTGTTATTAATCTTCGTCAATTATTAGTCTTTCTTTTTTTCTTTATTATGAATCTTCGTCAATTATGAATCTTTCTTTGTTGTTAATCTTCGTCAATTATTAGTCTTTCTTTTTTTCTTTATTATGAATCTTCGTCAATTATGAATCTTTCTTTGTTTTTTTTTCTTTGTTATGAATCTTCGTCAATTATGAATCTTTCTGTTTTTTTTTTATTTTCTTTGTTATGAATCTTCGTCAATTATGAATCTTTCTTTGTTATTAATCTTCGTCAATTATTAGTCTTTCTTTTTTTCTTTATTATGAATCTTCGTCAATTATGAATCTTTCTTTGTTTTTTTTTTTATTTTCTTTGTTATGAATGTTTATTATTAATCTATTTTAAAGGTGTTTTTTACTAAACAGATAATACTTCAGGGATATTAAGGGTGTAAATAGGGGATGAAGATTTTAATGTACCTATTTTGACGATATTCAAGTTATTACTTTGACTATGTTATATTCGTAAGTCCATTCAAAAAGATCCAAAAATAATTTAAAATTAAACATTTTGTATTACCGACTTCAATATAAATTATTAAGAATAACTCAAAAACTATTGGTCAGACCTTGATCAAATTTATATGTGATTACACGAGAAGCACCAGCTTTCAATTAAAAAAAGAATCATCGAAATCGGTTTATCCAGAAAAAACTTATGAGGTACATACAGTCGAATTGAGTAACATCTCCTTTTTGAAGTCGGTAGATAAATCTTTTAACAAAATTAAAAGCGGACTTCCAAAAACTAACACACACATACATATAAAGCTCCTGAAGTCGAGGTAGTGTTCTTTTATAGGATAGGGTGACAAATGAGCACACAGTCCACCTGATGGTAAGTGATTGCTGTCACCCCTAGACATCTACATCTATCCTCAATAAAGAATCAAAATGCAGATCCGTTGTCACCTGTGAGGACTAAGATGGAATGCCTCGTTTTCAGTAAAATGGGTCTCCGGTTCTCTACACTCACCACACGAAACACAGCAGTGTTAAGCTGCTATTTTACGCTGGTATTCTGTGAGAGCGTGGTCCTACCCCGGTTGAGCCAACCCGTTCATGCTGCAACCATGATATAGCTGCAGCATGGCTCTTACACGTATAAAATAGTTACTATTTTAGGTTTAAATGCAATAAATATTCCTATCCAACTATTTTTAGTATGGTATAATAGAGATTGCCGTGTAGTGGCTATCTAAGAGTATCCAATACTCCTTAATAACAGAGGTTAATGAAAAACAAGATGGGCAGTAGCAGTCTTTCTGATAGCAGATAAAAATAACAAAAAAAACTGTAGTTGCCAACTGAGCCAAGCCAAGCAACCTGGCAATCTATTGGTTGCAGGGTTGGTTGGACAAATAAGATTGATCAGGCACCTGGCGCGCTGCTCCCGTTCTCTTTCGCGGTCTCGGTCCCGGTCTCGGTCTCGGTCGCGATCAGCGGCGCCGGCGAGCGTCACCGCATGCGGCGGCCTCGCACTGCGGCACATTTCACAGCGCGCGCCCCACGCATTGTACGCATACCAGCACTCCCCACACTGCCACATGCGAGCACTGCCAACAAATATATATACATACGACACGCTCGTACGTGGTAGAGCCACGCTGCAGCTATATCATCGTAGCAGCATGAACCACGCTTTCACACAATACCAGCGTAAAATGGCAACTTACTGCTGCTGTGTTTCCTATGGTGAGTGTACATAGATTCACGCTGGTATTCTGTGAGAGCGTCGTCGTTCGCCGGTCAAGCCATAGGAGTGATAGAGCCACGCTGTATCTATATTATGGATATTACAGCCCTTAAAGAATATCATGGCATTTTTTCGGAATCGGACCAAAATTAATATTAAAAAACTGTAACGCGTTAACTATGACATCAGGAAATCACTTCACTTCCGAGTGATAACGGGTACGTCACAATATTCGAAACCAGTCCACTGCTGAACCTAGGCCTACTCTCCTATAGATTGCCTCATAGGAGGATATTTACCATAGTTGCCACGCTTGGCGAGCGGGTTGGCAACCGCAGTTTCTTTTTAGTCGTTATTAGGAAGACGCTGCTGCCCATCTACTGATTAGTTTCCCTCTGTCGCCTCTTACGACACCCACGGGATGATATGGGGTAGTGAATATTTTAACACCGCCACTACACGGCACTAATGTCGTCTAGTAGCATTAAATCTTCATCCCTAACTTTTCCACTTCTAGGGATATTTGTGTATATAATTTTTTCTCCTATAACATATTTAATAAAATCATTAAAATCGGTTGACAATTGACGAAGATATCGCGTAAAAACATACAGTCAAATTGAGAACTATCTCCTTTTTTTAAGTCGGCTAAAACGAAATTAACTTCAGAAAGAAAATTTAACAAGTTGGGTCTAATCACTAATCCTTATTACGACACATATCCAATTTTTAAATTATTTTTTTAAACGTTACCCCTACACTAGGATTTTCTATGTGTCGTGGAGTCAGTTTTGAAACATAAATTAATTGCACAAGGACAAACATCCCGACCGGTGCGGGATTCGAACCCGCAGCCGTCAGCATCGAAACCAATGCTAAGCCACTGCGCCACGGAGACGACATATATACGACTGATGAAACTTTACCATTGCAATAAAGCATTTTACACACTACACAACCTTAAGGTAGATGTCTATTTACCGATTCATTTGCATATTTCTTATTCATCTATATAAATAAAATTATAAAGGATTGCAGTTGTGTGAGCATCACGGAAAAAACTACGGGTTAGATTTCAATTAGGTTTTCTAAGTTTTATTTCTTAGACACTTGGCTCTTATCTAAAAAAAATATTGCGATATAGTTTTAAGAAACAACGATTTTATAAGCACTACGTATTCAGTGATGTGCGTTTTGTTGCCGCGGAGAAGTGGGCCAAGCGGTGTAGCGGGCATGAGTAGGAGAGAGGAAGGCTCTTCTACTTCTGCCTCATGATAAAGTTTCGGCCAGCCACGCATTATTTGCGCAAGCGACCTGATGCTGTTCGGTTGTACCTTGATCAATTGCCCCCCGTAGTGTCCTATAGTTTCATCAGTAATTTTTCACCGTTAAATAACTAATTATGTAATACAGAGCAACCTCGATATAACTAATCGGAAGGGGACAAGTAAATATTCGTTGTATCAAGTAATTCGTTGAACTGAGGTTTGTTATGTTGACGTTAGGTTGGTCTAAAATTCGCTATAAAGAGGTAAAAAATTAATAGAGATTTTCTGTGACCGTTAGGGAACACCTTTTACGTTTCTGATTAATTTCAACTTGAATCTTTAACAATAGTGACGAGCAGTGTTTAGATTACTTCCCATCAAACAACAATGATTGCTTAATGAACTAAAGCGTGTCGAAACCTGTCGCGACATGAATCACATACTATGAGATTAAGAGTCATACATTGGTGGGAACTTTACATAAAGGTTTTGGGTTGACAAAATTCGTTAATTAAAGGTATTTATACTTTTTCTTGATAGTTGAAAATCGTTATAAAAAGGTTGTTCACAAAAAATGTTCGTAATGTAAAGGGATATTTTACATGGACTCTTATAGACAATTCAAGGGGATTACTAAGAATTTCTTAAATCGACGAAGTCGTTATATTGAGGTACGTTATATTAAGGTTGCATTGCAATTCGTTTTCTTATAGTCGTATTTATATATTTATTATTATTATGAACGCGAACGAAGTCGCGTATATGTACGTATTAATATTAACATAAATAAAGATAACAAAATTACAACTTACGTAGATTGCTGCTGTGTAGAAGGCACTTTAGACTGCTCCCGCGGATTGTGCGACACTTTACCAACAGATGGCAGCATATTGAACACCTTAGCATTTGTTTCTTTTGCTGAAGTAATATGTGACGTCCTTATATTATTCTCAGTTATTGGAGATATACAATTCTCAGTTCCCAACAATTCATCGATCCTGGCGTAATCTCCATCGCTGATATCGTTGGAATACAAAGCCTCATTTTGAGAATTGCTCATAACAATCTTAGTGTCCTGAACTGAAACATATGAATATTTAGTTCCATTGTTATTCACTTGGAGTTGGAGATTTAAATCTTTATACTTCCCTTTGTTAGGTAAAGCATAAATTACTCCTTCCGCATTGGTGTCCCAACTACATTCTTTATCAATCAACTCCAGGTTTCCTTCGTCTATCTTCTTCTCCACCGCATTCTCTTTTTGCTCACCTTTCGAACCAGTTACGTTGTGATTCTCCATGGACTTGTGATAATCGCTCAAACTCCTTCTGCTGGAAATAACTTTGCCAACTGGTCGGTTTTCAGTCTGTTCCGAAAAAGAACGTCTGTAAGTTGGTCGAATTTCCGGGGAGTTTTGTGCGGAGACCGACCTTTGGAATGGTTCCCTTAATCTGGCACTCCCAGTTTGGGGCCAGTCGGGCACTGTTATCATAACACCGCCTGATGTTGGAAGCGATGTGGCACCATCCCTCCTGCTGGCGGTCTCGTGTCTACCAAGAGTGGTTACACTTAAGCCTCTTGTGTTGGAAATTCTAGACAAAGGAGACACCCTTGGTGATAAACAAGCCTCACAATGTGTTCTGATCCCAGAATTTTCGAGAGTGCACTTAGTGCACGCCCACTTCTTAAGGTACAACGCTCTACTCTGCTCCCTCTGATATTCCTTAATGTAATTCAATTCCCAGTTAGATTTACTTTCGTTACACTTCTTCGGTTTCCTAGTTACAGAATGGAGACTCCGCAGGAAAGACTCCCGAGGGTTGTACTGTGCAGTGTTGAAACCGTATCTCTCAGACACCATTAGACTTGTTGGTCTGTTGATAGTACCCCTGGTCTCTTCCAGGTTCCACCACTTCTGCTGGGAATTGATCACCGATCCATGCGATAGGGACCTCGTTACACCGTGCGCTTGATCCGTTAACTGAGTTGGCGATAGACGCAGGGATTGAAGGTCAAGGTTAAGGCGTCGTCCATCAGCGTAGCTCGATGAGGGTTTATACGAGGGAACTGCCAGGGTGTTGGATTTTATCATAGTGTTATCTGTAAACAATAATTTATTAATAATTAGAAAAACAAGCATATTTAAACCCAATACATTTTCGAATGAAAAATTACCTTGAGCCAATTTATCCTTGTCCATCATCCCTGATGTTTGATCCTCGTCATCAGAGAGTCTGAAATTGAAAAGAAATTAAAAAATTTAATAATCTGATATCACTACATCCAACTTAAAAGTTAGACCCAAGCGTCCCCTATCCTGTCACGAATATTTGCTAAGCTTAACAAATTATTTGGCAGTACCAGACTCGTATCGCAAATGCTACTTTATGACGTCACTGGTCTGTCCTAAAAACTATTTATATTTTAATATTTTAAATCTGCCACATGTTACAATATTTCTATGGCATTTCCTTAAAAATCCGTAAAGAACCCATGGATGTAGCCTCTCTATTATCATATCTTGCGTCTTTCATTAGTTCTACCGACAAAAAAATCCGCTGGATTTCGTTTTTGTTCCAACCAGGGATAAAGTAAAAAATTACTTTCAATAAGCATTATATATATATATATATATATATCTCTTTATATAAAAATCAATTGCTGTCAGTTAATCTCGCTAAAACTCGAAACTAGCTCGATCGATTCTGATGAAATTTTTTATATGTACTTGGGTGGATCCCTGGATGGTTTAGATTCACAATTGAACCCGGTAGGTGGAGCTGTTGTCGAGATCCACAAATCACCCGTGCAAAGCCGAGGCGGATCGCTAGTATTCTATACTTAATTTAAAAAAACCATTTTACCCTAATCTATTCCATAGGAGATCAGGATATCCTGCTATTCCACGGTCAATAGAAGAGACGGGACGAGTTGGTTATTCGGATTATGTTTTTATTTAGAAATCTCATACACACAAACATACAAGAACGGGTAATTAGGTACTCGCACCCACGCTTTAAAATAGATAGTTTACACACGCGCACACAAACAGGTGTAAGTACCCACGCACGCCCCTGAAAACAGGCGCGTGTAGTTTAAACACGTCCCAGGCTCAGTGGCTCAATGCAGCGCCGACTCGGCAGACGACCACACGAAAGCATATGCCCTATACCTATGCATATGTACTATAGTGCCCGCGTTATCAACTAAGTCGTCGGGCCATAAATGTCAATAACAATAGGAATATGCCACTGATGTGCGACACTCGCTACCTGAGTCCGGCTTATCGAAGCAGACAAAGCTACCCTCATTTAATTTGTAGTTATAAGTAGCGGTTAACAGTGGTATAGCCACGCGGCAGCTTTTGCTGTCGCACGGATGGGCCGGCTCGAACCGGGGTGGTACCACGACCTCACAAAAAACCAGCGTGAAGTAGAGGTTTACCTCTGCGTTTCGCTTGGTGACTGCAGGTGGCCGGAGGCCCTTTTTACTGGAAATGAGGCATTCCATTTTAGTCCTCACGGGTGACAACGCATCTACATTTTGATTTGTAATAGAGGATAGATGTAGATGTCTATGGGCCGCAGCAACCACTTACCATCAGGTGGACTGTGTGCTCGTTTGTCACCCTTATCGTATAAAAAAAAACTTGTTTATGTGTAGTAAGGTAACAAGGTAAGAACCTCTGTATATTTTTTTTCATTTCTACAAATCATGACTATAAATCTACAGGAAGACAATAGTGGCACAGTTGACTCGGATGAAGAAGATAATCTATACAAATATGTAAATAAAAATTGAAGTGTCTGTTTCTAATGTCAAAATAACAGCTATTTACTAATTGCATATGAAAGTATATACGGTACTTATAACAACAACACACTTTTTTTAATTTTTGTTTGTCTGTCTGTTTGTTCCGACTAATCTTCGAAACTGCTCGACCGATTTTGACGGGAGTTTCACTGGTAGTTAGCTCATGTTACAAGGAGTAACTTAGGCTACTAATATTTTCGAAAAATAATTAGGGTTCCGCGCAACAAAATTAAAACCCTAAATTACACGCGGGCGACGTCACGAGAAACAGCTAGATTGTAATATAATAAAATATTTATATTAAAATCATCATCATCATCATCATTACAGCCCTTCACAAGTCCACTGCTGAACATAGGCCTCCCCCAAAGAATGCCACAAAGCACGGTGAGCCACCTGCATCCATCGACATCCTGCATGTCTTACCAGGTCGTCACTCCATCTCGTGGCGGGACGCCCGACACTTCGCCTACCGGTACGAGGCCGCCACTCGAGAACCTTTCTTCCCCATCGGTTGTCGGTTCTTAGAGCTATATGGCCGGCCCACTGCCACTTCAGCTTACTAATCCGTTGGGCTATGTCGGTTACTCTGGTTCTACTGCTGATATCCTCATTCCTAAGTTTATCACGCAGAGAAACTCCGAGCATAGCCCTCTCCATAGCTCGCTGAGCGACCTTGAGCTTTCTCATACGGCCAGCAGTGAAGGACCACGTCTCAGTTCCGTAAGTCATCACTGGCAACACGCACTGGTTGTACAATTTCGTTTTAAGGTTTTGAGGTATGTCTGACGTGAAGATGTATCGTAGCTTCCCGAATGCTGCCCAGCCGAGTTGAATCCGTCGATTGACCTCTCGGTCGAAGTTGGACTTACCTAGTTGGACTATTTGTCCCAGGTAAACATACTCGTCAACAACTTCGAGCTTAGTGTTCTCAACAACTACCGGCATAGGTGTGACATGGACATTAAACATGATCTTTGTTTTGTCCATGTTCATCTTAAGACCTATCCGTTGGGAGACACTATTGAGGTCATTGAGCATAGTGCTTAGGTCCTCCAGCGATTCTGCCATAAGGACTATATCGTCGGCAAATCGAAGGTGAGTGATGTACTCGCCATTGATGTTGATACCGTATCCTTTCCAGTCCAGAAGCTTGAAAACGTCTTCCAATGCAGCAGTGAAGAGTTTCGGGGATATGACGTCACCCTGTCTTACACCTCTCTGCAATTGGATAGGTTTCGTACTCTGATTCTGTACTCGGATAGCCATCGTAGCTCTACTGTACAAACACTTCAACACCTCGATATACCGACAGTCAACTTGGCACCGCTGAAGGGACTGCAGCACCGCCCAAATTTCGACGGAATCAAAGGCTTTCTCATAGTCCACATACGCCAGACATAGTGGCAAATTGTACTCTTCGGACTTCTGTACAATTTGCCGAAGGGTATGTATGTGGTCTATGGTGCTAAAGCCCTTTCGGAAACCGGCTTGTTCGGGAGGCTGGAAGTCGTCAAGTCTGCGCGCGAGACGATTCGTAATGACTCTCGAAAACAGCACGTAGACGCGGCTCAGAAGGGAAATCGGTCTGTAGGTCTTCAAGAGAGCGTTGTCACCTTTCTTGAAGAACAAGACCACCGCACTTCTGCTCCACGCCTCCGGTGTAATGCCACCATGGAGGACGGAATTAAAGAGCTTCTGAAGGACTTCAAGTACCGGTTTTCCACCCGCTTTCAGAAGCTCCGCTGTAATTCCATCCTCGCCTGGGGCCTTCCCGTTTTTAAGGTGCTGGAGAGCCATTCTAATCTCGCTCAGACTGACGTCCGGGATATCTTCGGAATAGTGTCGGATGAGACTCGCTCTTGGATCGTTACTCACACTTGCGTGTGGCTCCAACGATGACGTGTAGAATTGCCCATAGAACCTCTCAATCTCACTCAAAATCTCAGGTGTCCCGGAAACGATGCTGCCACATTCTGTCTTCAGCTTTGACAGTTGGCTCTTTCTGGCAGACAGATCTCTGGCAAAGACTTTGGAGCCTTGGTTCCGCTCGATCGCTTCTTCAATACGAGCTGTATTGAAGTTGCGTAAGTCCCGCCGCATGCATTTGGAGATTATATTAAAATATTATATTATAAATAAATGAAGATTATATTTTATTTATTCTATTGTGTTAGTTTGTAATTTCATAATTTCAAACCTTAAAAAATACATTCATTAAATCTTATCGATATCGACTACCTGCTGTTACGCACATCATTATGACGCTCCATAAACTCGAATGAGTGCGAGCGAGACAGACTGATTACAATGATTTATTGTCAGACGACTCAGTTGATAATGCGGGTAATATGTGCATTTCTGCCTAACGGTCGTCTGGGTAGCCACCATCTTACCTATTTCTGTCGCCAAACAGCACTGCGTGTACTGCTATGGTCTGGTAACCTGTGAGGCATTCCATCTTAGTCCTAAAAGGTGACGATGCATCTGTAGCCTTGTTCATTTGAAGTTGCAGGTGTTTATAATCTGCAGTACGGCAGTAGTAATTTGCCATCAGGTCGACTGTAGGTTCGTTTCTCCCTTCGATTTTATAAAAAAAAAATGTTTAAAAATGGTGTGTGTCTTCATCGTCACGTGACCGCAGTTTACTACTTAAGAAGTTGTGCGATGTGTGTTATTGGTATAAATTCAAGAAAAGAAATCATTCAACTCGTTGAAACTAACAAAACAATATCAACATAGTATCTTTAATTTTGAATAATTTTTTTTAGCCGAAACGTCGGGAATTAAATAGTTAAATTAAACGCGACAAAATCCGTAGAATTAGTTTCATTAATATGTAGTGTTCGCGTAAATATAAGAAATCATTAAATTTTTAATCATTAACATTATCAGTTATTTTATTTTAATTAATAATGTTAACTAACATAACAATTTCACTTTTTGTTGACATTCAATTTCGCTCCCCATCTCATTTTAGTACCACAGACTATACAGGGTTATTTTTCAAAGAGTAGTCAAATTTTAAACTTAAGTTCAAATATATAAATAATGATATACCGTTATTGCAGTTTTTGAAAATACGAGTAAATAAAGCTTCTACTTTTATTTAAAATTATCCCAAGTCGAATGTGATTTATGGACAACAACAGTTTTGCCTACCGATCGACCCTTACGAATGTGTACGTGCGCAGTAAAATCGGTTAAAATATAGCATTACCACGCATTTTGAATTTAAAAGATAAAAAGGACAGAATGTTTGAAATATTTTTTAATTAATTTTTCTTTACCTTGGTTTTCTTTGCGGTCGGTTATTGCAAAATTGGTCGGTTATTGCAATATCAAAATCGATTCTTAAGGACTAAACTACAAGTAGCCACTTGCTATCAGGTAGACTGAGGATTTGTCACTTCAGTTTTATAAAAAAAAAAACATTAACGACAAGACTTCTATGTATATTATTACTAGCCGGGCACCATGGTACTAATACTTTGCACACAAATTACGGTCAATTCTCCGTAACTTCTTTATTCTACTGACTGACTGCCTCGTTGGTCTAGTGGTTGTAGTAGTGCGACTGCTGATCATGAGGTTCCGGGTTCGAATCCCGGGTCGGGCCAAAAAAATCAGTTATTGAGCTTTTCCATCAAGAAACACTCAGTAGCTGGCCGGAGTCAGGAAGCTGGCGGTGTCTCAACCCCGTGCCTCGGAAAACACGTAAAGCCGTTGGTCCTGCGCCTGATCTCTCTCCGGTCGTGTCAGTTTACCGTCCCATCGGACTACGAGAGTGAGGGAATAGAGAGTGTTCCTGTGCTTGCGCATACACTTGGGCACTATAATCCTGTCCTGCGCCGATGGCCAGTCTCCGTTGAAGCTGGCCTCCGTGACCGAAATTCGGTCTGTAGGACATTCTTTGTTTTGTAAACCGCAAACGTTGTTGTCGACTATCTGATTGTGTTTAATGTCACTAAGAAAACGCTGCCATTATTAACGTGATTGGACGTTTATTTCAAACTATATAACTTTATTTCGTATCCTATAGACAGTATCTATCACGCCGGCTCGATCCACAGCTATAACACAGTTTTGTTCTGAATTCCCAGTCGGGTATACATAGAAGTGTTTGCTTGACGCACCTGTAGACGGGCGCGTGAGGGGCGAGTGCATCGCAGGCGGTGCAGCGCCAGGCTGCAGAAACGTTGCGCAGCCCGCAGCCGCAGCGCCACGCGCGCCGGGCCAGCGGCGCAGAGCCCACGCACGACCATCCGCTGTTTACATAGAGACATTACAGGCCAGGTTGCACAAAACATCGTACTTTAGACACGATATCAACGCACGACAATTGATACTTCTTACTCTGTGCTCGGAAAAAATGTGCACACACATGAAATACTCAATTATGTAATCGAATGAATTCTTAAAATACTTTATATTATTTAATCGAAAAAAACTTTCGACATTCGAATTTTCGATTTTCACATGAAACCAACAAAACAATATTTTTCGATAATATAAAAGGCATGTTAGTAAATGAGATTCTTAATCAAGTACGTTTAATTTAAATCCTTTTTTTAGATAATAATCAAAAACGTTTCAAATAACGTAACTTTCTGTCCACCGTATATCGCATGCTTCCATCATACTGGGGAAATGTACATGGAACGGAGAAAGGAGCACTAAAAGCCTTTTAAGTGGGAAAGATATGGCTTAGTTAGTTATCATCATCGTCATTAGAGGTTACGAAAAGTCCACTGGTGAACATACGCCTCTACCATAGATTGCCTCATAGTCACAAAGATACTGCTGTCCATTTCCTATTTCAGTTTCCCTCTATCGCACAACAACCCACATTTTTTTTTATAGGATAGGGTGGCAAACGAGCACACAGTCCACCTAATGATAAGTGTTTGCTGTGACCCATAGACATCTACATCTATCCTCAATAAAAATCAAAATGCAGATGTGTTGTCATCCATGAGGACTAAGATGGAATGCCTCTGTTCCAGTAAAAATGGTCTCCGGTTTTCTACACTCGCCACACGAAATAGAGCAGTGTTAAGCTGCTATTTTACGCTGGTATTCTGTGAGAGCGTAGTCCTTCCCCGGTCGAGCCAACCCATTCGTGCTACAACTATACTACTAATATAGCTGCAGCATGGCTCTACCAGGTATAGAAATCCAGTTGGTGATATGGGGTAGTAGATATTCTTACGCCATGGCTAACCAGTGGTCAGTTTTATATGTATCATAACCAGAGACTATGAGGGAAGTGTATTTTTTAAAATAAAATAAAACAAAAGTGTGCTGATAACATGAAATGGAAAGAAGGGTCTTGAAGCTGATAAGATTTTATGAGAGAAATTATGACGTACAAAGCAAAACAAAACCCTTGGACACACTTCAACACACTCTGAAACTTAAATGGAAATGGGCAAGCTGCATATATAAATACCTATTCCTAATACCTAGTCCTATTGGATAGGACCATAGGATGGCATAGCAAAAGATGGGCTGAGAATCTAATAACCACCGGCCAAGTGCAAGTCGAACTCATGCATCAAGGGTTCTGTACCATCGTAAAACACTTTACAATATTTCTAGTAGGGAAGACCTTTTTAATTTTTATTTATTTTTATTATTTGTTGTCATAGCGGCAACAGAAATACACATTCTGTGATAATTTCAACCGTCTACCTATTACGGATCATGAGATACAGCCCGCTGACAGATGGACAGACGGACAGTCAGCGGAGGTTTAGTAATAGGGTCCCGTTGGTTACCCTTTGGGTACAGTACCCTAAAAAGCAGGAGAAAAACAGGATATATGTCACTCACAACAAGCAAAGATGGAAAGAGATGGAGGAGGCCTACACCTACATGGGTATTATACAAGAAAACTTGTACTATACTCATCTTTAAAATCCTTTTGAATGGTATGCCCTGTTGCAGCTATATTAGTAATATAGTTGTAGCAAGAGTTTGTCGGCTCGACCAGGGAAGGAACATTCTCACAGATTGTCAGTGTAAAATAGCAACACAATGTTGTTGTTTCTTGTAGTGAGAGAATTGGAGACTTTAAAGAGTTAACAAGATTGAAGAAGAATCGAAATGTTCGTATATGATTCATGGGACAGGGAAAAGGTTAAGCGAGGATAGATGATGATATAGATACCAACATCTACTGGGCCACAGACCATCAGGTGAACTAAATAAACACAAGTAGGAATCAAATACTCATCATCATTATTATTACACAATATTGAAAGTCCACTGATGAACTAAGGCCTCCGCCTCCTCATAGATTGCCTCATGTGGAGACATTTATCGTAGTTGCCACCCTTGGCAAGTCAGTTAGCAATCAGTTTTTTATTATCCTGAACAGTTATCAGAAACATGCTACTATCTCCCTGTTTCTCTCCCAACACGCCTCTTACAACACCCACTGGATGATATGGGGTAGTGGAGTCTCTCAAGCTGCCACTGCACGGCAAAATCAAAGAATGTAAGTCAGTAATCCCTGTCACCTATTGTGGTGTATGCTACCATGTGGCTTAGCTTAGCAAAATCTATACACTCTTGTATTGAAGCCATCCATATTTAAAATGTATGGAAAGCAGACCCTGACAAATATTTCCCTCTTTGTTCTATACATTAAACAAATGATAGAGCAAACCAAAGATTATGAGGGAACGGAAAGAATTGGGTCATGAAACTGAAACTTTTTTATTCAATATAGATTATAAATAATACTTATTGAATGTCACTCTTTTGTTTAATTACCACTGGTTTGAAAAAAAACCTTTGTTCTGGGAAGAACCATCAAGAAACCCCGTGGGACTTTTTTTTTAAATAACAGCTTACAATGATGTATGTTACACAATTAACCACACAAAACAAATTAGAAATGGCTTGGTAGCGATCACCTCATTCCCAGGGGTTATTATCATCCATAATTTTCTTAATATTATAATAACTCTTTATATAAAAACTTTGTTTAATAAAGTTTTTGAACTTTGAGCAGGTCAAATTTTGTATATTGCACAAACAACATGTAATCCAAAATTAAAGCAATCAGATCTTAAGCCAATCTTATTTTAGTCATTGTTCAACAAAGGAGTCTTCCAAGCTTAAGTGTCATATCACTACATTTAACTTGCAGATAAAGCAGTGCCTTAAACCTAAAATACTGCTTCCCATCACCAATCTTGATATTTTTCAGATGTTTCTTCTGACTACACAACATGGTAGAGCCACACTACAGCTATATTATGGTTGTATCATGAATGGGTCGGCTCGACCTGAGTAAGACCACACTCCCACAGAATAAAACCGTAAAATTGCAGCTTATTGCTGCTGTGTTTCGTATGGTGAGAAAACTGGAGACCTTTTTTACTGGAATCATTCCATCACAGTCCTCAGGTGTGACATCTACATTTTTATTCTTGATTGAGGATAAATGTAGTTGTCTATGAGCCACAGCATGTACTTACCATCAGGTGGACAGTGTGCTCGTTTGTCACCCTTATTCTATAAAAAAAAAACATCAAATGATATTAAATTTGACTAGCATTTCCATAAGCTTACCTTTATATTTTTAACTTTTTGCAAACAGTTTTAACTTTACATTATACTTTAAACTTCAGTTATCAATCTATACTTTACAAATAAGGACTCATCGTTTTGGGTTGTAAGTTAAAAGCAAAGGTAAAACAAAGGCACTCAAGTTAGAATACAAAGTAATGCATACCTAAAACCATCATGTGTCTATCACATTAAAATCTAGGTTTACGGTTAAATAATGACATATGCCCATTACAATAAATATACCAATCGGTAATTTCGATAATGATATCCGTTGATATTTATACACCACTATAATACAATAGAAATAATAACCTAAATATAGGAGAAGAAAAATCGATATTTTCTGACATTACCAACAATGGTCGGAATGTCAATGTGTATAAAAATTACGCACCTATTGAAGTTATTTGTTGTCGGTATTACGATTGCTTCTGAGCCAGGAGTTGTACCACCACTTTTTTCTGTGCGAGAAGCGTATTCTGATGAAGAATCTCCCGTAAAATAATGTTTTTGTGATCCACTGTCATGACTCGAAATTCTCTTTGTACCACATTTTAAACATTTCACACTCTCTGTTGGATTGATCTGACCACATGACTGACAATGCCATTGCAGCACCGATGCGATGGAGCCCATTTTAATTCACACATGGCTATGTAACCATACAATGCTTCGTTTAGAGAAACAATTTACTGTTCAAGAAAAATGAAAACAGCTGATCCACCATATTGTTTGTATATAACCTTTTTATTCAAGTGTTGCTATTGCAAATAAACCTGAATGTTTTAATGTGTCAGTCACAGGTTCATAACAAATATTTATCTTTAAATAAAACATAATGTCCATTGTTTAGTAATTAGCCGCTAAATAATAAATAATATAATCGAAGGGAATAAATTATAGTAACATGATCTTAAATTATATTATGTACCGCGACATCTTTTGATCAAAGTAAATAATAATATTTACACATAGTGTTTAAGAAATCAACTTATCTTACTTTTTATGAGTTACAAAAAATTATCACTAGGTGGCAGGCTTATAAAAGATAAGTTAGTGTAATACCAAAGTATAATTTATAAAATTTAAATTAGCCATTAAATTATTGTAGTCTTTGGTTAATAATCAAATTAAATGAAATCAATCAAATCACAGTAACGGATAACATTTCTATAAAGTTAACCTGTTAAGCAGCCTTCATTGTGTAATTGTAGTGTGAAGAGTGTTCGCTAAAATTATATGACCGTCACGTGTTAAACTTAGGATAGTAAAAAAATCTGTTAATTTTTTGAAGTTATTCCTTTACCGTTTCCATAGCATTTCCAGTTGCAGTATTGTAGTCGCATCGCAAACATTTAGCGATGGACTACAATATACATCACTAGCTAACGCACACTGTTTACAATTCAAATTGGTCACGCGTTTTCGGGTTTTCTAATCGTCTATACGCCAGTCCTTTATTATTATAATAGTATAATCAAAGACGCCAATATAAATTCTAATTATATTATAAGTCTACTATAATACTATTATAAGTCTACAAAGCCCAGGGTATTTTCTCTTTGCCTCTCTGTCTACCTGTCTGTCCTCTGCTTAACTCTTTTCGTTGCTTTTTAAAATTTCAAATAATATATCAATCCGTGGCAGCTCACGACAGTTACTAAACATTTTGAGGGCATAGAGTAATTAGACTAATTCTATGTTTGAGAATATGTGAAATCCACCAACACGAATGAGGGCTAATAATTTTCTGCTCACCAGGTGTCGCTAAATGACACTGAGGTAAAGTGTTTTGTTACACAATGTAATTTTATTGAGAAGTTGTTTTTTAATAAAATTCTATCAGTTTCTAGAGTATTATATTAATACACAAAACAATGCGTCAGTGGTTTGTACATTTATGATTATCTGTGGTTTACTTTATTTATTTCTAATGTTATTAATATTAAAAAAATAGCTAATAGTATAAAAAGAAACATTAACTTTTACATTTTCCCAACAAATTAACTTCCTCACTATGAAATCTGTCAAATATTATATCTCACTTTCTAGTGGCGCCGCCATGGTGGCAAAAAAAGACGGGGATGCCCTCATAGCTTATAAGTATAATCCTCTCAAAATCATATAATAAAAGTAAGCAATTCTCAAATGTATGTATGGATATATGTAACTACTCTGTAGTACCGGTGTAAACGAATCCATTACTGCGTATCCGTGTGTGTAGTAAGATTCAACCAAAGGAAATTAAAGGTGTTGGCAGCAGCATCTTCCTGAATACAACTCGAAAATAATTAAAACTGCAATGAGGGCTATTAATTTTCTGCTCACCAGATGTCGCTAGTTGACACTGCAGTTCTGCAGTAAACTTTTTTATTACTCAATGTCATTTAATTGAGAAGTTAGTTTCAAATAAAAGTTTATCATTTTCTAGGGTATTATATTAATACACAAACAATTCGGCAGTGGTTTTCTCTTTAATTTATTGCACATTTTTAACTTTTTTTTTAATTTTTATACTTTTATGAATATCTGTGGCTTTGTTTTTTATTTTTAATCTAATTAATATAAAATATAGCTAATAATACATAAATAAACATTGACCTTTACTTTTTTGAACTAATTAAATTCCCCGCTACGAAATCTGTCAAATATTATACTTTACTTTTAAGTGGCGCCGCCCTGGTGGCAGAAAAAGTCGTGGATGCCCTCATTAGCAACCCGCCCGCCAAGCACCACGCTTGGCGAGCAGGTTGCTAACTGTGTAAACTGTGACAAATATCCCCCTATGAGGCAGTTAATGAGTAAGGCCTATGTTCTGCAGTGGACTTTTGAAAGTCTGTAATGATGATGATAATGATGATAATATGTAATCAGTTTCTCTCAAGCTGCTCTCATGATTTGAGTGAAATTTTGATAAAGAAAGAAAGACGAAAGATGTGTACGTGTGATGATGTGATGAGTTTTTTTTAATCAATTTAAATATAGACAGTTCTATGTCTATCATAGATTAATGATAAGTCATCGCGCGCGCGTGATGACTTGTCATTAATCTATGATGTCTATCTTCTTTGGTCTGAAATTTGAATTTAAATATAGTTTCCACTACGGTATAGAAAACAAACGTTTTTATTTTCCAGAAATTTATATCGTGTCGAAGTGTCGCTTACACCTGGTACTATGTGCTCACCTGTATTTTCGTTGCAGGGATGCGATAAATTACTTTTATTTATAGCGAAGCAACGTGTCGCGTGAACTCGATCAAGATTAATGACTGCGTTCCATCAGGCGCTTGCAGTTTGAATGCGGGTAACAACAGCGGAAAAAAAATAGAACAGTATTGGTAAATTTCTTAAAGTTTTTTTTTTTAAAATTCTTCTTTAGTAATTATAATAAGCCTTGATATGCGTTAATATACCTACTTCATAACACATTTAAGTAGTATAATAAAAATAATTAAAATGAGAACACCCAGGACTTTTTCTGCCACCAGGGCGGCACCACATGAGGTGAAATATTTAACAGATTTCATGACGGGTAGTTAATTCGTAAGGAAAATGTAAGTGTTAATGTTTCTTTCTGTAATTTTAGTTATATTTTATACTAGACGTTCTCCGCAAATTAGCCTGCGTGGTTTTTTTTTTGCACGCAATCTTAAAATGAAAGTAGCCTAAGTTACTCCTTATACTATCGGCTATCACCCAGTGAAAGTCCCATCCAAATCGGTTCACAGGTTTTTGCGTGACCCGTGTTCCCGCCAAAATAGCTCGCAGATTACATATTTTTTTCAGACTTACATAACATTTATCATTACATTTAGGCGAATTTACACAATATTTTTATGAATTATAGCTTATGTGTTTATTCTGATGTATAAGGTATATTATTGTATTTTCATTAAACTCCATTCAGTAGCTTTTGCGTGAAAGAGTAACAAACATCCATACATCCTCACAAACTTTCATATTTATAATATTAGTAGGATTAATTAGATTAGAAATGAATATTCCTAATAGTAGAAGGATGAAAAAAAAGAGCTGAAAAATGTGTAAAAAATTAAAGAGCAAATCATTGAGGAATAGTTTTGTGTATTTACATAATACTTTAAAGTAGAATAGAATAGAATAATTTTTTTATTCAATATAGATCACATGTGTAATGAGGGCTAATAATTTTCTGCTCGCCAGATGTCACTAGTTGACACTGAGGTAAAGTTTTTAGTTACACATTGTCATTTAATTGAAAAATTGGTTTTAAATAAAAGTTTATCAAATTTTAGTATCACATCAATACACAAAAGAATGCGTCAGTGGTTTGCTCTTTAATTTTTGCTCATTTGTAATTTTTTTTATAATTTTTCTACTTTTTCTAATAAATAAACTGAACCACAAATATTCATGGTTCAGTTTATTTATTTTTAATCTTATTAATATAAATATAACAACTATTACAGAAAAAACAATAACCTTTACATTTTCCGAACAAATTAACTTCCCCGCTATGAAATCTGTCAAATATTATACTTCACTTTCTAGTGGCGCCGTCCTGGTGGCAGGAAAAGTCGTGGATGTCCTCATTCTTATTGAAAGTAATTTTTGAATTTACCACTGGTTTGAAAAAAAACCCTCTGTCCTGGGAAGAACCAGCAAGAAAACCAGCGGGACTTTTTTTTAAAGTAACTTTTACATTAATGGTTGTACAAACTATTTACAAAATTTATTTTAGAAACTGCTTGGAAGCGACCACCTCATTCGCAGGGATTATTATCAGACATGTATTCATTTATATTACAATAATCCTTTTTATACAGTTTTAGCTTAACAAAACATTTAAACTTGGTAACAGAGAGCGCCTGCACATTTCGGGACCTTGTTGTAATAGCGTATACATTGCTCCAAGAATGAATTACTGACTCTGTGGAGTCGAGAAATTGGTATCACTAGCTTGTGTTTGTTCCTAGTGTTTACAGAATGTATATTTTTTTTTTTACTAAAACTACCTTTGTTTTTGTGAACATACATAAAACTTTCGTAAATATACTGAGAGGCCAAAGTTAATATATTTATTTCTTTAAATTTATCTCTAAGAGACTCTCTCGGTTTTAGGTTGTAAATAGACCTAATGGCCCTCTTCTGTAATACAAAAATAGTTTCTGAATAAGCCACATTTCCTCATAGCAAAATCCCATAAGACATTATCCTATGGAAATAATTGAAATAAACTAATCTAGCGGTCTCGACACTAGTGAAACCTCTAATCTTTTCTACAGCATAGGCTGCAGAACTTAGTCTGCTTGCTAGTTTGGGTATATGGAGGCCTCACTGAAGCTTTGCGTCGAGAGTGATGCCAAGAAAAACATTGGATTAAACAGGGCTCAGTTCTTACGCATTTAAAAACACATTGGTATTCAGATTTTTAACTTTTGATGTTGTAAATTAAATACATTTAGTTTTATTTCCGTTTAAATGTAGATTAGACATTAACGTTAAACCAATGCACTAATTTTGATATAGCATTATTCATTTCGTCACATTTAAATGTTTGACGTTTAAGTTTAAAAATCAAGGAAGTATCATCAGCAAATATTACTATATCCTGAAAGGGAAGGTAAGTCATTAATATACGCTAGAAATAGGAAT